AGTGATGTGTGTGACTTGATACCTTGAGTGATGTGTGTGACTTGATACCTTGAGTGATGTATGTGACTTGATACCTTGAGTGATGAGTGTGACTTGATATCTTGAGTGATGTATGTGACTTGATACCTTGAGTGATGAGTGTGACCTGATACCTTGAGTGATGTGTTTGACTTGATACCTTGAGTGATGTGTGTGACCTGATACCTTGAGTGATGTGTGTGATTTGATACCTTGAGTAATGTGTGTGACCCGATACCTTGATTGATGTGTGTGATTTGATACCTTGAGTAATGTGTGTGAATTGATACCGTGAGTGATGTGTGTGACTTACTACCATCAGTAATGTGTATGACTTGATACCTTGAGTGATGTGTGTGGCTTGATACCTTGAGTGATGTGTGTGACTTGATCCCTTGAGTGATGTGTGTGACTTGATACCTTGAGGGATGTGTGTGACTTGATACCTTGAGTGATGTATGTGACTTGATACCTTAAGTGATGAGTGTGACTTGATATCTTGAGTGATGTGTTTGACTTGATACCTTGAGTGATGTGAGTGACTTGATACCTTGAGTGATGAGTGTGACTTGATACCTTGAGTGATGTGTGTGATTTGATACCTTGAGTAATGTGCGTGACCCGATACCTTGATTGATGTGTGTGATTTGCTACCTTGAGTAATGTGTGTGAATTGATACCGTGAGTGATGTGTGTGACTTACTGCCATCAGTGATGTGTATGACTTGATACCTTGAGTGATGTGTGTGGCTTGATACCTTGAGTGATGTGTGTGACTTGATTCCTTGAGTGATGTGTGTGACTTGATACCTTGCGTGATGTGTGTGACTTGATACCTTGAGTGATATGTGTGACCCGATACCTTGATTAATGTGTGTGACTTGATACCATACCTTGATTGATGTGTGTGATTTGATACCTTGAGTAATGTGTGTGAATTGATACCGTGAGTGATGTGTGTGACTTACTGCCATCAGTGATGTGTATGACTTGATACCTTGAGTGATGTGTGTGACTTGATACCTTGCGTGATGTGTGTGACTTGATACCTTGAGTGATATGTGTGACCCGATACCTTGATTAATGTGTGTGACTTGATACCTTGAGTGATGAGTGTGACTTGATACCTTGAGTGATGTGTGTGAATTGATACTGTGAGTGATGTGTGTGACTTGATACCTTGAGTGATGTGTGTGACTTGATACCATCAGTGATGTGTGTGACTTGATACCATCAGTGATGTGTGTGACTTGATACCATCAGTGATGTGTGTGACTTGATACCTTGAGTTATGTGTGTGACCTGATACCTTGAGTGATGAGTGTGATTTGATACCTTGAGTAATGTGTGTGCCCCGATACCTTGATTGATGTGTGTGATTTGATTCCTTGAGTAATGTGTGTGAATTGATACCGTGAGTGATGTGTGTGACTTACTACCATCAGTGATGTGTGTGACTTGATTCCTTGAGTGATGTGTGTGACTTGATACCTTGAGGGATGTGTGTGACTTGATACCTTGAGTGATGTGTGTGAATTGATACTGTGAGTGATGTGTGTGACTTGATACCTTGAGTGATATGTGTGACCCGATACCTTGATTAATGTGTGTGACTTGATACCTTGAGTGATGAGTGTGTCTTGATACCTTCAGTGGTGAGTGTGAATTGATACTGTGAGTGATGTGTGTGACCTGATACCTTGAGTGATGTGTGTGACCCAATACCTTGATTGATGTGTGTGACTTGATACCTTGAATAATGTGTGTGACTTGATACCTTGAGTGATGTGTGTGACCCGATACCTTGATTAATGTGTGTGACTTGATACCTTGAGTGATGTGTGTGATTTGATACCTTGAGTAATGTGTTTGACTTGATACCTTGAGTGATGTATGTGACTTGATACCTTGAATGATGAGTGTGACTTGATACCTTCAGTGGTGAGTGTACTAGGAAGTTGAGCCACTGGTCCCTATCACATTCATAGGGCTGGTCTTTGTGCACCTTCATTTGATATTTTTTGAAAACCTCTGCAGACTCCTTATCACTGCTTTTGAACTCGTTGCTCTGGGGTGCTGTTCTAACGAGGCGAATCTACAAACATACAGGTGGGAAAGGTGTTTTACCTGGAGGGGAGAGTCACATAGGAAGCGTGTGTACTGGCTCTCGTTAGGTTTATGAGGGGGGTCGTGGTGGATGCCCATCTGGTATTTATGGTAAACCTGATGTGACTCTTTGAATGACTCTTCAAATTCCTTACTGCGTGGATTGGACTTTACAAGTCTAATCTGAAATGGTTGAGATATTGGAGAATTTAGAAGTTAAAAATACCCTTCATTATCTCCAGCTCTTTGGATTTGGAAAAATTAGTATAACATTACAGGCAGTGTTTCAGAAGTAAACCTGTGATCCAATTGAGCAGTACGAGACATCCAAAGAGACAGAAAGAGTCATGTGCTAATTATATACCAGGAAGCCCTTCATTGAATCTGGAAACTTAATACCTTCTTGCTTCAGTTTGCAATGGTACTTTTTGATTTGCTAGACCATGCAGGCAGGCTTCAATTATAATAGAAACTGCTTAAAATCATTATACATGTATCTTAATTGGAATAAATAAATTTGGTAGAGATGTTGTCTAAATTCTGAATATCAAATGTAGGTCGAGGTCACAATTAAGTGTCAATGATAACCTACAATTAAGTGTCAATGATAACCCACAATTAAGTGTCAATGATAACCTACAGTTAAGTGTCAATGATGACCTGAGGCCTTGAGGCCCTGATGTAGTAGAAGCGTAAGAGTGGTTCTACTTGTTCTGTAACCTTTTTGTGACCTAGACTCATGCGATAAACAGAAATTTAAACTCTTACAAAACATCTAAAAATTGCAGAATGACAGTATAATTCACTTATCAATGGCCAGTGGCAAATGATTTTGCAATGTATTCAACTTATTTATGAATTTTATATTAGATGAACAAGATGACCGATACATATTTTTTTTAAATCCATAAATTATAAAACGACATATATAAATGTCGGAGTAACTTGACACATGATAAAGCGTGATATTTCTATAGATTGAATTACCTCCAACTTGTGGACACACTTCTCTGCTTTGTCTGGTTCACTGAGATAATCTGCCAGCGTCTTAGCTTCATTCTTCTGCAGACATAAATTTCCAATACCAACATTCTTTAAGATACATTTTTTGTTTCAGTATAAATTATCAATGCCTGAGTGTTGGTTCTTTCCATTCAATATTTTTTACTTCAATTCATTGGTGATTTTTTTCTAAAAATTTAACAAAATTTTCTTATTCAGTATTGTGACATGACAAGATATCCAACATGTGATACCCTTCTTAGCTGTAATATTATTACTGTACCTTACACCACCAGTAAACTAGTATGGACAATATGTATAGGTATACACCACAGGTCATGATTTTCCAACACCACTGCTAGAGATTGAACCCAGGACCTCTGGTTTACTAGTCAGCTGCTCAATCAAATGAACTGAAGCAAAATTCTCCCTAGTCGAGCTAGTAGGAATTAGCCGTTATTATTTTACCAGGGTGACATATTCTACCTCTAGAAATGTCTATGTATGAATAAACATATATAATTACCGAACTACAGATGCTCATTGTGCTCATGGTACTAGCCTCACGGTCGAGGCCTTTCACGAGCTCCTGTGCAGCCTTAGCCTCCTCTTCCGTCATACTCTGTAGTTTGATCAGGTTTCGTGACTGCTTCCTTTCTAGACGAATATCCTTAGCCTTTCTCATTTGTGGTTTGTTGGGGTCAGCACCTGAACCTGAGTAAATCGCTGACGTAATTACCATATAATGTCCAAATAAATAAATATTCCACACAGTGTTACTTACTTTAATTTAAAGAAAACTTATTCCTCATAATGTGTCACTATAAGGAGCATTTCTAATCAAGTAACACTACAAACCTAACAATATCAAAACCATAAAATCCATACAATGCATATTAACATTTCTCCATGTTAAGGAGGCACGGTAGTCTAGTGGTAGGACGCGGGGCTCGTGACCGAAGGGATGCGGGTTCGAGTCACGACATGGCTCTGTGTTGTATATTTGAGCAAGATACTTTCCTCCGCTTGTTCAAGTCTACTCAGCTGTAAATGAGTATGTGGTTAGGCAGTGCTAGAATTGTTGAATGCTAGCTGTAAGCGCCGAAATGGCAGCTCCGGCTATGCTCTCCAGGGAGTTGATACCTATGAACTAAGTTGTGATAAAGTGGTATATAAGAACCTCAAATTATTATTATTATTATTTTTATGTAACAATAGTTGTTTGGGAGAATTTTAAGGTAGAATATGCTATTTTTTTAAATCATCAATACCATAACTACAAATGACTCTACCTGGTCTAGGGGGTGCTTTTGGTGCGTGACCAGGTGTGGCATCAGTTATGTTGCCACTGGTACTGTCTTCTGTAGGTTTTGCTGCTCCACTCACTTCTGGCTTAGGTTTTGTCTCTGAGGATTTGGCAGGCTCCCCTTTAACGGTACCGTGTATAAGATACTTGTTCATCTGCTTCAGTATCTTTTTGTGAGATTTGTTCATCTTGAAGTTCAGAGCCTCCATTTTGATGGTGTAGTTTGGGCAGCATGTCTTGTTCATTGTAGGCTTATAGCAGTACTTCCCACTTCTACAGAGGAACAAGCCATAGAAAGTCAGTAATTGGATAGATGCACAGCACAATTTTCAATCATTTCATCAAAAGTAAGCACCACGTGAACATAAATCTTGAACTACAGGTAATTAGAAGGATTTAAAAAAAAAACATTTCCCAACAAGAGCACCATGAGCGGAAGCATGATACGCCCGTCATACCCTCAAAAGGGTATCGATATATTGGAAGCAGGTAGTGACATATGATATAAATGTGTTTACTGCCACCGTTTTGTTGGTGACTGTGACCTTGCCATTCATTTACTGTGTTTATGGGCGCATGCTATTTTGTGATTCAGAATTACACTTTCGTGGTCAATGTTGACTATTACAAAAAAACTAGAACCTTGGCTTTGAGGTAGGAGTCTTGTTATGAGAAGTTGGAACGCTACAACAAAACCTGTTTTATATGTTAAACATGTTTGGTTTTTGTATTACCATACTTTTGAAAGGAATTAAACAAATAATAAAAAGTTTTTGCATTTTCGACGGAATGTCCTTATTCGGCAATGAAAAAAGGGCATAACTCTGCCAAATAGCGTTTAAATGTCACAATTTAAGAACTCATTCAAAGCATTCAGGAATTAAAACAAACAAGTAGTTTAGAAGAAAAAAAAGGAGAACATATGTTTGAGTTATTGTATAAACAAGGATAAGTTCACGGCAAAATTGAAGTTCAGTGTTGCTATGTCAATCAAGTGTGCTACGCCAAAACGCGAAAAGTTGAAACTCGACCGAAAAACCTGTAATATATGTTGAACATTATTTCTTCTAACATTACCATATGAAATTTGAAAGGAATTGATTAAAACAATAAAAAGGTTCTTGCATTTACTACACAATGCCCTTTATTGGCAATGAAAGGAGCAGAGCCCCTCAATGAAAAGGGACAAATCTTGGCGGAATAGCATTTAAATATCAGGATTTCAGAGCTCATCCAATGCATTCAGGTAATGAAACATCCCACCAAGTTTGACAAAAATAAAGAAGGAATAACATCAATATTTACGGTTTTAACAAAATGTACATCATTATGAATAGATAAAATTATGTATTATAATTCAGTTAAAATTTCTGCAAAATAATTACCTCCTCCATCCCCTGTCAATCAGGTCCTGGTAATCTTGGACAGTCAGAGAATGAGCCCACAATCCTAAAATAAAAAATAAATAAAGTGCAATGGAAAGAGAGGCCAGAACAAGGATTTCATATTGCTGGACAAAAATAGCAGAACTGCCTATTGTTACCACAAAAGTTAAACCTAAGGTGACAGAACTGCCTACTGTTACCACAAAACCTAAGGTGACAGAACTGCCAACTGTTACCACAAAACCTAAGGTGACAGAACTGCCTACTGTTACCATAAAACCTAAGGTGACAGTACTGCCTACTGTTACCACAAAACCTATGGTGACAGAACTGCCTACTGTTACCACAAAAGAAAAACCTAAGGTGACAGAACTGCCTACTGTTACCATAAAACCTAAGGTGACAGAACTGCCAACTGTTACCACAAAACCTAAGGTGACAGAACTGCCTACTGTTACCACAAAACCTAAGGTGACAGTACTGCCTACTGTTACCACAAAACACATTGAAAGATGCGAGTTAGCAGAGTTACGTCAGATTGCGGAGGAAACTGTGGAGGAATATGCCGAGAGAGCTCAGGAGCTGGCTTCTGCTGGTTATCCTTGGGCAACAGAAGACTTCATACAAATTATGGCCGTTGACAGCTTCCTGAAAGGCCTGCTTGCAGTTCTGGACAAGGTGCCATCAAGTGCCATCAAGTGTTCTTGGGGAAGAACACTTGATGGCACCCTTGCATTTGTAAAGGGTGCTATAACCAACCAGAACCTTATATATGGGTCTACAAAGTAGTTGAAACTGGACGTCAAGCGTGTTTCGTTTTAGCTGGAAAACGACTTTGAGGGGACGTTGGTTAGGCAAATCTGTGGTCCCTCAAAGAAGAATAAGGAGATGTTGGAAGAGAGAGTCCAGGGCCAAAGGGAGAAGTTCAAAGAGGACATTGATTATGTTGTCCCATTGACCATTTCAAAAGTCTGAACTGTTCAGTCAACCTCATTGGAAAACATTCCTTGGGTAATGGGCATGTCTACAGATGAATTACTGCAGTGTCAACTTACTGACATGAAGCTCGGGCCAATGTTACGGTGGTTGGAAGCCAATCATCAGCCAATAGAGCATTAGTTGAGACTGTGCAACCCATCTACTCGTCACTGGTACCTATGTCGTTCAAAGCTTGTGTGTCGGAATGGCGACTGGTTTTACCGCTAGGAGGATCCATTGGAGCCAAGACTGTTGTTTCTCACTCTGACTAGGATGCGGAATCAGATCCTTTATAGCGCGCATGACCTTAGAATATCCGGTCATTTTGGGCAGACAAAAACCCTTGAGCGGGTGAGGAAGAGTGCTATCTTGTATGGCATGACTGCCGATTGCAAGCGTTATGTGGATGAGTGTAAGGTCTGCAATTTTCAAAAGGGTCCCAATAAGAAAGCCAGAGCTCAACTTAAGAAGTTCCATGCTGGAATGCCAATGGAAAGAGTTCATGTGGATATACTGGGTCTGTTACCATTAACAAAGCAAGACAACAAGTATGTGTTGATGGTAGTAGACCAGTTCACCAAGTGGGTTGAATGTTTTCCTCTAGCGGATCAGACTGCAGAAACTATTCCATGGACGCTGGTTCATTTCCCGTTTCGGGTACTGTCCTGAGAGGAGAAACAGTTGGAGTTCTAGAACCCAGGGATCCATCTTGTGGCAGCAATAGTGTTATAGGTGATTCTGCTCAACCGTCGGGACTAGACAGTGACATTGAGGACGACAATGCACAATCCAATAGGATGGCAAGAACGCGTCCGTCTTCTCCGAACCAGGCGCATGCTGCTCAGAAAAGGTCGCCACCTCAAAGACTATCTTACAATGTACTTGGTGGCTCACCTTCAGGCTGTTGCGAGGAGGCAGGTGATTGAATTTTCTGTTGGGGGTTATTGTGCCAGACATGCTTCTATTTTAAAACGGGGAGGTCAGACCCACCATTTATACAAAATTGATTTCCCTTCCCAACAGGATGCTACTGTTCAAATCTTGTCAAAATATCTTCAACCCAACAGACCCTACGGAAGAAGAAGGATATTAAACTTTTCATCTTTATCCCTTATTGGGCCCCACATCTTTTCCCCAAGGCGGGTCAGACCCACCATTTATACAAAATTGGTTCCCTTTCACCCATGAGTGCTTCACAAACCAAATTTGGACAAAATCCTGTAATTCCTACAGAAGAAGGAATTTGAAGAACTGGCTATGTTTCCCCTATTGGGCCATGCCCCTATGCCCCAAGGGGGGCACGCACACACACTGTTTATTCAAAATTGTTGGCCCAAGGATGCTCCAGACTAAATTAGGATAAAATCTCTTAGTCCCTATATTGGGCCCCGCCACTCTGCCTCCAGGGGGCCCACACCCAACGTTTATACAAAATTGAGTCCTCTTGGCCTAAGGATGCTCCAGACCAAATTTAGTCATAATCTACTGGGCCATTCAGGACAAGTACAGTGCCTGAAATGAGGGCCAGCCGATCAAATATTTTGGACCAGCAAAAAATTTGAAGCACTGGCCCAAATGATTTTGGAAAGAAATATTTCCACAGTATTTAACATAATGCTTCAGCGCATTTAAAATATATATGACATGACAATGTTTGTAATATATTGTAAGAAAGATCTGAAAAAAAATCACATTTTCTTATATTTACCGTTAGTAATAAACTGTAATCATGGACAGTTTGATTCGTATCGAAGTAAAAACATACTGTTCCCGGCGGCTGTTAATGTGAAAGGGACAATAATTTGTTTTATTCTCAGATTTTTCGACAGTCGCCCAAACTATTTTTGTTTGGATAGTGACTACCTCACCAAGCTACCTATATCAGGCCCAATCTGGGGTCTGATATGAAAACAGGCATGTGTAATGAACCTCTAAGTATACAGTTGGTCTTTAAAGCTAGCTCAATCGGCATTGTAAACTGTACATGTAAAAGTGGATAAGAGGAGCCAGACTGTGGAGGGTGTTGGGATAAACAATTGCAGTACATTGTACCGTGTAAAAGCAGAATTACATTGAGCATGTCATTTCGATTTTAAAATTAGCTCTCCACCTCCAAAAGTCCAATGATACCATGTGTGGCAGGGTTCAATTGTACATAAGGATTAAGGTCGCCTTCTAGCTTCGAGCTAGGGGGAATTTCCCTTTAGCTCAGTGGTAGGGCGTCCGACTAGGAACCTGGAGAGCCAGGGTTCGATCCCCGGTGGAAGCACACTAGTCTCTTTCCTGTTACAAAGGGTGTCCGTGGCCCTCTCTGTAGTGACAGGGGGTTAGAACCTGGGTTGTGGTGTTAGAGGGCGAACACATTTAAAAAGGGGGGGGAAGTGTGGCAGGGTTCAATTGTCCAAAGGACTAAGGTCGCCTTTTAGCTTTGAGCTAGGGGGAATTCCCCTTTAGCTCAGTGGTGGAGCGGCCGACTAGGAACCTGTAGATCGAGGGGTCGATCACCGGTGGAAGCACACTATTCTCTTTCATGTTACACATGTATCGATTTTCTTCCTCTTTCGGTTTTCATTTACATGCATCTATTCTTATAAACGCTGTAAACAATAAATATTTCAGTTGAACATGGTAGATAAACGTGGAATTCACGATTCTTGAAATGTCAGTTTCGGTATTGCCTAAACATGTTTAGGTTTGTTTATAATCTGTTGATGGTATAGGCCTAACACCCATGACCAGCCATATAATGGTATGTATCATAGGCGGATATTGGGAAATAATATACTCTTCGCGCATATTTACAATTACGGTCATTTCTGCAGATAGATACTATTTACCATGAGAACAGCTGCCGTTGTTACCACAGTAACCGCATTTGTGAGCGCCACCACCTCCATGATATTCCACGATACAAGGATCCACAGTCGCCATGATGCTACAAAATGCTAATTTTCTGCGGAGTTAAAAAAAAGAAGAAAATACGGGGAATTTCGAGTGAACAGTAGTTATCAAGCATTACAAAATATATTTTGATGGGGTAAAGAATGACAAATTGTCAAATATATTTTTGACGATATGTTTGATTTATATTACCACAAATCGAAAGTAGAAACTGCGGACTTCAAAAACGCAGCGTAAACAAAATAAAATGGCTGCCTCCATGAAGCGATTACTCCGGGTCTGTGGGAAACCTCGCTTGTTTGCACATGTTCTTCGCAAGCAGCTAGCTGCATCACAAAGGGCATACTCAGTGAAATATGTGCCCGATATTCCACCACCAGAATTAGGTAAACATTGAAGACGAAACCCTATCCTTTCGTTTCAGTTTCGCAGAGGTCAAACTTTCACAGCTCCACAGGCTTTATCGAGTCTTGCCAATGGAATGAATGTTGGATGATTTAAATGCTCATTGCTGTGACAATAAAATTAATTATGTGTGACCTAATCAGCAGACACTCACATGGAAAAAAAATATTCTAAATTTATAATATGAAATAGGCGAGACGTAACAGCGGGCACACATACACATGCAATTACCTGATAACTGTTTCTTCATAATTTAACAGTTACATTTTATGTACTGTCAGTAGAGCGAACATCCAGTCCTCGCATAATGTCAGGTGGTAAACACTCCGGCCTTTCACGCGGCCGGGGTTCATTCCCAAAGTTGTCGTACGCATGAATATAATTCAGAGAAAGTGTTTTTCTCCTGCCCATACAACTCCAACAACCCAGGTGGAGTATGTATTCGTCTGGGGTGGTTGTTGCGGTATTTGTGCTGTAGCATTCAGTTGAGGTGGCATTATAAATGATACCGTTGGAAGCATGATCCCACTACAAACAGACCACATTACATTTCCAGCACACACGCAGGCATTCACACATAGGGAGATATTAGCCAGGTGGCATAGGACTAGGAGTCGGCGCCTGATAAGGCAGCTACTGCGAATTCCTCATAAAAAAATGTATTGAATTAATGTATATGCTAACTGTATTAATTGTATATCTATGTACTGTAAAGCGCTTTAGAGTGGCTTATGTTAGCTAGATATGGCGCTATATCAAATGTTATATATATGGATATATATAGATAATCAATGTTTTTCATAAAATAATGACAAAAGGGTAGATTAACTTCCGTATTTGGAGAATCGTTTAGCTTGTTCATGTCGGATGATTGGATGACGGAATGTGTCAGCATGCGCAGCCCTTGTGTAAGTTCGGTCCACGTTGGAATCAGCATAATTATGACGTCACAATGCATGCAGTGTCATATTTCATGGCTTTCCATGTATCCTATTGGCCGTACCTGCCCCGGCTCCTTGTCCCTAACCCAATATTGAAGCCTCCCGCACTTGATCAGCCCTGGTTCGTTGTTTTTCAAAGCACCTTAGAAACACTTACAAATTAAGTATTCGTGATATTAAATCACTCATCTAGATGTCATCTGTATTGAGCTATTTTTTCTAAGATTTTAATTTCATTAATTATAAACTAAAGCAAAGTTGCATTAAAAAGTAAGTTTTACAGTAATGTTACCTATGAAATCATACACGAGCTGATATGTTAAAGATATACGCGTTAGTAGTATTTTTCATAGATGGGAAATATCCATTTTTTTTATAGCAACATTTAACTGCAGGGGTACATTAATTTGATGTACATGTAACTTATTTTCAATGCAACTTTGTGTTGTTTTTCTTTTAGAAAGAAAATCACACAAAAAAATGCTCTTAAGACCTATATAGCTATTTCAGATAGGTTTATTACACAGGAAAGATTTTCTATTTATTTTGTCCGCTACACTGATAAAAATGTTAACAGTAAAACAAAATTTGCCCTTCATCTTTCTTTATTTTTGAGGGAAAATGATGAAATACCTCAATCAGAATGGAAACATCGACCAACATCCTCACCTGAGAGGAGGCACTTGAACTCCAACATACCCTCTCAATTTGTCAGGGGCAAAAGTTCACAAAAATGTTTATAAGCAAATTATATTTTCAGGTGAAACAAACCGTTCTAATCTGGTACAGTCGCTGAACAATGCCATGGATATAGCTATGTCAAAAGACCCAACATCTGGTAAGTCCATTCTTGCTGTATCTTAATTCAGGTGTTAGAATACTTATGGGTTGTACAATTAAACCACTAGATATTTTGTAGTATTGGTCCTGGGTAGGTTAAATCACAAAGTATACAAATGGAATGAGCAACAGAATCAGCTGTATATTACAGGATGAATTTATATATAAGCTTGTATTTTGAAAATTGTGTAACTGGTAGATTATATATATTGCTTCAGTTTCTAAAAGGTGATCGAAAATAAATTAGACATTTACCTATGCATATTTAGTTTTCAAAATCTTTGTACATATTGACAATATATGAGAAATCATACATCATGTACTATGATTTCTAAAACTGAAAACATAATCTATGATTCTGTTATCAACAACATATATTAGCAAGATTCTTGTCAATATTATAAATCAAAGTATATGTTGTCAGTATAAAAAATCTTAGTACTTGTTATCAGTATGAGAAATCTTAATACATGTTATCAGTATAAGAAATCTTAATTCTGTTCTTGTTGTCAGTATAAGAAATCTTAGTTCTGTTCTTGTTGACAGTATAAGAAATCTTAATACTTGTTGTCAGTATAAGAAATCTTAGTACATGTTGTCAGTATAAGAAATCTTAGTACATGTTGTCAGTATAAGAAATCTTAGTACTTGTTATCAGTATAAGAACTCTTAGTACATGTTATCAGTATAAGAAATCTTGGTACTTGTTATCAGTATAAGAAATCTTAGTACATGTTTTCAGTATAAGAATTCTTAGTACATGTTATCAGTATAAGAAATCTTAGTACATGTTATCAGTATAAGAAATCTTAGTACATGTTATCAGTATAAGAAATCTTAGTACATGTTATCAGTATCAGTGATCTTAGTACTTGTTATCAGTATAAGAAATCTTAGTACATGTTATCAGTATAAGAAATCTTGGTTCTTGTTATCAGTATAAGAAATCTTAGTACATGTTTTCAGTATAAGAAATCTTAGTACATGTTATCAGTATAAGAAATCTTAGTACATGCTATCAGTAAAAGAAATCTTAGTACATGTTATCAGTATAAGAAATCTTAGTTCTGTTCTTGTTGACAGTATAAGAAATCTTAATACTTGTTATCAGTATAAGAAATCTTAGTACATGTTGTCAGTATAAGAAATCTTAGTACTTGTTATCAGTATAAGAAATCTTTGTACATGTTATCAGTATAAGAAAACTTAGTACTTGTTATCAGTATCAGTGATCTTAGTACTTGTTGTCAGTATAAGAAATCTTAGTACTTATTATCAGTATAAGAAATCTTAGTACATGTTATCAGTATAAGAAATCTTAGTTCTGTTCTTGTTATCCATATAAGAAATCTTAATACTTGTTGTCAGTATAAGAAATCTTAGTTCTGTTCTTGTTGTCAGTATAAGAAATCTTAATACTTGTTGTCAGTATAAGAAATCTTAGTACATGTTGTCAGTATAAGAAATCTTAATTAGTACTTGTTATCAGTATAAGAAATCTTAGTACTTGTTATCAGTATAAGAACTCTTAGTACATGTTATCAGTATAAGAAATCTTGGTACTTGTTATCAGTATAAGAAATCTTAGTACATGTTTTCAGTATAAGAATTCTTAGTACATGTTATCAGTATAAGAAATCTTAGTACATGTTATCAGTATAAGAAATCTTAGTTCTGTACTTGTTGTCAGTATAAGAAATCTTAGTTCATGTCAGCAGTATAAGAAATCTTAAAAAGTACTTGTTGTCAGTATAAGAAATCTTAGTACTTGTTATCAGTATCAGAAATATTCAGAATCATGATACATTCAATATGCAAATGTGGACGTTATGAAATGAAATATCTGAATAAGGTGCCATACAGTTATAGAATATGAATGTCAAATGAACTCCTTTTCATGTAAACTACCTCCCTTCCATATCATTCCATTACAGTGTTGTTTGGGGAAGATGTGGCCTTTGGTGGTGTGTTTAGGTGTAGTGTCAACCTCAGAGATAACTATGGTAAGCGTCATCTTTGATCAAATTTTGCAAACAATTTGAATATTTATATTAAATCATTGTTGTTAAGACATAGAATCTTGTGTGTTTTGATAATTTATCAGAATATATCAAAAGAGATAGAATCTTGTGTGTTTTGATAATTTATCAGAGTACATGTATATCAAGATGGTGAAGGAATTGCAGTCCAGTATTAAATATAAAATGTCACTATAAGATAGCAGTGTTAAATAAACACCCATTATATACTCAGCATTGTGCAGATACTGTTAAATGATTGTCATTAGCGTTGTGGTATAAAACCTAACTACATGTACATGTAAGGTCTGTCTGTGTTAGGTCCTGATCGTGTGTTCAACACCCCCCTTAGTGAGCAGGGAATCGTGGCGTTTGGTATCGGTCTGGCCACAGCAGGATCTACAGCCATAGCAGAAATCCAGTTTGCTGACTACATTTTCCCAGCTTTTGATCAGGTCTGACTCCTTTTCTTGGCTTTATATGTTAGCTTAAAATGTGACAAATTCAGTGTAGGAATTGATACAGTGCTATTAGTTATGAATTGCTTTCTTGATCGGCTGTTATACTAATAGTGTTTGTTATGTTTCTTCTGTGCTTATCTTCAGTCAGTGCCTAACTGGTTTTATTATGTCAATAGTTGTTGTTGTAAACATGATGAGGTTAACAAGTCATTTTTGAAAATTTACAGACAATTTTGTGACTCTTGTTTTTTTATGATAATTGGATATCGTGTATGAGTCAATAGGATTATTAGACTGTTAAGGTTGACATCTGATAAACTTTCATATTTAGTTCTTTAAAAAGGTGGGTTTAAATTTACCTTTGATCATGATGTAGAGTTCATGGACAGAATTATCTTTTTAATAGATATATGTAAGTTGTATGTACGTATGTTAACAAAATCAGTTATGTACATGTATGTTAACAAAATCAGTTATGTACCCGAATGTTAACAAAATCAGTAATGTACCTGTATGTTAACAAAATCAGTTATGTACCTGAATGTTAACAAAATCAGTTATGTACATGAATGTTAACAAAATCAGTTATGTACCTGAATGTTAACAAAATCATTTATGTGCCTGTATGTTAACAAAATCAGTTATGAACATGTATGTTAACAAAATTAGTTATGTACATGAATGATAACAAAATCAGTTATGTACCTGTATGTTAACAAAATCAGTTATGTACCCGAATGTTAACAAAATCAGTAATGTACCTGTATGTTAACAAAATCAGTTATGTACCTGTATGTTAACAAAATCAGTTATGTACATGTATGTTAACAAAATCAGTTATGTACCTGTATGAAATAAATGAAATGTGAAATGTGTTCATTTTACCTGTGTAGATAGCTAACGAAGCAGCCAAGTTTCGGTACCGTACAGGTAACCTGTTTGATTGTGGTAAGCTGACCATCAGGACGCCGTGTGGAGCAGTAGGACATGGGGCACTCTACCACTCACAGAGTCCGGAGGCCTTCTTTGCTCACCTGCCAGGACTGAAGGTAGGAAGGTCTTCATCTATCATAACTAGCTCACAGTAATGTACGCTTTGCTCACCTGCCAGGACTGAAGGTAGGAAGGTCTTCATCTAACAGAAACTAGCTCACAGTAATGTAGACTTTTTTGCCATGTCAAGATAACTTGGAAAATCTAACCTTATTGTAGAAGCCATTTTTTCCCACTTCATTAAAGCTTGCTCCTTTCAATGGATGCATTATACAGATCTGTGAAATGATGAATCCTTAAAGGCTTTCATATATGACGTTTTGATCAATATATGCATCAATAAGAAGTTTCATGTATTAAGATTAAGATGATATTCTAGTAAAAAAAATTATCAGTCCAAAAGCACATTTTGGTACAAATGAAATTTTCTGAGTTGCAAAGTAATAACAGAAGTGGATTGTCTGTAAACAAGCACTGTTAACAGTCAGATTTCTACCTACTAAATTTACATGTGGTGGTAAGCATTTCCCATTTACGATGTTGATTTTCTGTTCACCAGGTTGTCGTTCCACGAGGCCCCCAGCAGGCCAAGGGTCTCCTTCTCAGTTGTATACGTGATGACAACCCGTGTATATTTATGGAGCCTAAGATCCTGTACCGTGGAGCTGTTGAGGAGGTACCAGTCAAAGACTACGAGATACCCTTGTCTAAGGCAGAAGTTGTCGTAGAAGGTATGTGTGGATATAACATATCTGATTTTAAATACACTGTTTCTGCATGTGTTTGTTTACCGATAAACTTTCAGGATGACCAGTGGTGGATATGAAAATGGGGTTTCTCATCTAATGTGTCATATTAATTGTCACCCATTTCCCATTATAAACTAAGCACCATGAGACCATGCAGATTTCTCCTAAATAATGTGATCCATCTGACCCCATTGCAGAATAAAGATGAGTTCTCTTTGGTATGGTATCAGAAAAAAGCCAAACAAAGGTATAGAGGGCAGATAAGGTTTTAAAGCAGATGTCCACACTTTGACGTACACGTTGGATTGTTGCCTTGACAATTTTATTTGAGAACAATTTCACCTGCGATGGTCTGTATTGTTGAGACACTATAGGACTTCAGTTGGACAAACATTATTTTCTCCCTTTTTGAAAAAAAATACCGGGTTGTGTTCTTAAAAAACGTAGCTAAAGATGATTTCATTTGTCATCGCCATTACATATTGTTCTGTCTAGAGAAAGGTATCCTCCAGCAAATGTTATCCATCCCAGCTCTCTTTGATGTGGTTACCCATGATGTAGATCTGAAAGCAAAAACTTGATCACAATAATACTTTAGAAACATTGTTCTGTTATTCCTATTGTCCATTTTGAAGTAAACTGATGGTTTGAAAATTGTCACAGGAAGTGATGTTTTACTGTAGCTTGCTTTGTTTGCATTGTTACAGGAAATGATGTCACAGTTAGAGTTGCTTTCATTGTTACAGGAAATGATGTCACCGTTTGATTTGTTTGTATTGTAACAGGAAGTGATGTCACAGTTTGATTTGTTCGTATTGTTACAGGAAGTGATGTCACCGTTTGATTTGTTTGTATTGTAACAGGAAGTGATTTCACAGTTTGATTTGTTTGTATTGTTACAGGAAGTGATATCACAGTTTGATTTGTTTGTATTGTTACAGGAAATGATGTCACAGTTAGAGTTGCTTGCATTGTTACAGGAAGTGATGTCACAGTTTGATTTGTGTGTATTGTTACAGGAAGTGATGTCACAGTTTGATTTGTTTGTATTGTTACAGGAAGTGATGTCACAGTTTGATTTGTTTGTATTGTTACAGGAAATGTTGTCACCGTTTGATTTGTTTATATTGTTACAGGAAGTGATGTCACAGTTTGATTTGTTTGTATTGTTACAGGAAGTGATATCACACTGGTTGGTTGGGGAACCCAGCTTCATGTACTTCGTGAGGTGGCACAGCTGGCTCAAGAGGAACTGGACGTGTCCTGTGAACTCATTGACCTCAGGACCATTCTACCATGGGATGAGGACACCATTATCAATGTAAATTATACTTCATCTATTGTCTGGTGGGTTAGATGTACTGATAAAAGCTGTCTTTATTTTGGCTTTTTTAACCAGTTCTCAAATACATTTTCTATTATAAAATGTGCAACAGCACAGTAGAGCATTTCTGATTGATTTCCGTAATTATTAAAGGAAATGAAACTTCATTCATTATATAGGTGATAACTGTTGTTATATTTTTATGACAATTTTTGATCTATGTTGTGTTTTTCAGTCTGTGTGTAAGACTGGGAAGTTGTTGATAGCCCATGAGGCCCCACTCACCATGGGTTTTGCTGCAGAGATAGCTGCAACTGTACAGGTACACCTCCTTTTAGATTAGCTGTCCATTTGCATGACCTATAAGATTCTTGTTTTTTCCTACCGATCTAAGAATTAAAAAAAAACTGCATTATAGACAACACTGGCTGGACGGTCTTCAGATGTTTTCTATATACAGTATTCAATAAACTTTATAATTATTTTGGATAATAGGTATATGAAAATAATAGATCATTTCTTATAAACTTAATTTTCTAGGGCCAGTAAATAATGAAATGGCTAAAAGAATAAGAGTTATTGCCCCTTAACTGTATTTTTCCATTAAGTACACACTGTGTAATGAGCTTGTATATAAATTTGTAATTTCAATTCGTTACCAAGGTTTAATGTGAACAAGGAATAGTAATCATTGAACTTTGTATTATGAAAATAAATAATGAGCACTACCAGTCAAGATTTTCTCTTTATCTGATATTTGACTGGATATGGAAATGTAAAGGGGAAGTGGTTGGTTATGGGAGAATGAAGGACACAGTGACTTATAATGAGAGGTGAAGGGACAAAGGTTTGATAGGATTGGACAATGGCTGGATATACTAAATATTGTGTGATGGAACATTGACTAGATATTGTGTGATGGAACATTGACTAGATATTGGGATGTTAGGGAACATTAACTAGATATGTGGATATGATGAAACATTGATTAGATATTGGCATGTGATGGAACATTGACTAGCTATAAGGACGTGATGGAACATTAACTAGATATTGGGATGTTAGGGAACATTAACTAGATATGTGGATGTGATGGAACATTAACTGGATATGATGTGATGGAACATTGACTAGATATGTGGATGTGATGGAACATTAACTAGATATGATGTGATGGAACATTGACTAGATATAAGGACGTGATGGAACATTAACTAGATATTGGGATGTTAGGGAACATTAACTATATATGTGGATGTTAGGGAACATTAACTAGATATGATGTGATGGAACATTAACTAGATATGATGTGATGGAACATTGACTAGATATAAGGACGTGATGGAACATTAACTAGATATTGGGATGTTAGGGAACATTAACTAGATATGTGGATGTGATGGAACATTAACTAGATATGATGTGATGGAACATTGACTAGATATTGGGATGTTAGGGAACATTAACTAGATATTGGGATGTTAGGGAACATTAACTAGATATGTGGATGTGATGGAACATTGATTAGATATGAGGATGCAGTGTTTTTGTTACCTAAATTTTTCTACAGCCTGTTCCTTTATGATTTTGGAAAATAAAGCATCATTTGTATTGAATTTTGGAATATATTCCCTAGTTTTTGGCCATTTTGGGAAAATAGCACAGTTTTTTAGCTAGGGGAAACAGCCTGTATTTGGCAGTAAAACTAAGCAAAACAAAATCACTAAAATGTGATGGAACATTGACAAGATATGGGGATGTGGAACATTGACAAGATATTGGGATGTGATGGAACATTGACAAGATATGGGGATGTGATGGAACATTGACTAGATATGAGGATGTGATGGAACATTGACTAGATATGAGGATGTGATGGAACATTGACTAGATATGGGGATTCGATTAGATATGAAGATAAGACATTGACTAGATATTGGGATGTGATGGAACATTGACAAGATATGTGGATGTGATGGAACATTGACAAGATATGGAGATGTGATGGAGCATTGACAAGATATGGGGATGTGATGGAACATTGACTAGATATGGGGATGTGATGGATCATTGACTAAATATGTGGATTTGATTAGATATGGGGATGAGACATTGACTAGATACAGAGATTTAGGTGAATATAGGAGTAAATTAGAGAGACACTGACAGGTATAAAGGTGGGAAAGGACATTTCCTTGAGAAAGGGACAAGATTGCAGGATATGGACCTGATATGGAGAAGCATTAAAACATAATTAGCTAGTATTGGGACGGGAACGAAGCATTGCATTAGTGGCTTCAATCTTCCTGGGTTTTTTTAGCCCCCGCTCAACAAAGTTGGTGGGGACATTGAAACAGTCTCCATCAGGTTAAGAAGAATTGCAGTCTGATCTTTGAAACAATTGATGTTATATCCTCATATATGGATTATACTTGCATCAAGAATGCAGATGGAGTTGCAGATACTACATTTGACCTACTTTTTGTACTTGATTATTTTTATGCATGCATGTGACAAACTAGGACATTTGACAAATGTTAGTATTTTCAGTATATGTCATTAACATTTTGGAATTGAGTGAGGTGATATCAATGACTCCATCTTCTTGTTAAGACTTGAGATGGTAAGTTAAAACAGATATATCAAATATTTCAAATCTAAATCTACAAGTGTAACTTTTGCCAAATATTACTAAGGCTGATCCTAAAAGTAAGACAGTGTTTTGTTTAATTTTAGAACGAGTGTTTCTTAAACTTGGAGGCCCCTGTACAGAGGATTTGTGGTTACGACACACCATTCCCACATGTGTATGAGGCCTTCTACCTGCCAGACAAGTGGCGATGTCTGGAGGCTGTGAAAAAGCTCGTGAACTATTGACGAGTGGTCAAAACAGAACTAAGGTCAGCCTATTTCCTTCATCAACTCAGAACTGTTATATTGCGATTACAGGAAATAAGGCCTCATGGAACAAGACATTGAAGTTCAAGCTCATATGATGTGATCATGTGATTTATGTGATCATGTGATTTGTGATGGGATGATCATGTGATGTGTGATGTGATCATGTGATGTGCAGATTAACTTAGACAGAATCTCATTTGCCATATTTCACATGTGTGAAGTGGTTCACTTTTTATACTGGTGTATGTCACAGTACTGTTGTATGTTTACTATCAGGTACAGATAAACCTCGAGAGACAATCACTTTTAACAATAAGAAAAAGTCCCTCAAAAAATGCTGGTTTTTCAAATGAGGTTCAAGCATCTAAGTGAAAAGCAGTCTTGTTAAGACATGTATGCTACATGCATTCCAAGGCCATCATAAGGCATAATCAGATAGAGCTACATTTAAGTGACTAGTAGTCGGTGAAATATTGCTGTATCTGACCAGGTAATATGAGAAGGAAATATTTGTGTACAGTTTGTGGATGACGGTGACAGTTGTTGATGATTTTGTAGTAAATCAGTTCTTTTGTTGGATTGAGAGATATTTAAGCAGGTCTTTTATATTATTATCTCTTCTTATAGAGATTGCTTATTTAGAGTGGTTTTTCTGTTTTATATTTATTTATTTTTTTAGCAATCTTACTAATATCAGATCTATATTACCATTTGTCTACATGCATTTAAAATATATATTTGGATGGAAATCACTGCCAAACAAGTGATAGTGAAGTTACAATAATGACCTGTAGTATGTTGGTTACTGATATATAACCCAGACCTACAGTGCCCTGTAGTGTGTTGGTTACTGATATATAGCCCAGACCTACAGTGACCTGTAGTGTGTTGGTTACTGATATATAACCAGGCCTACAGTGACCTGTAGTATGTTGGTTACTGATATATAACCCAGACCTATAGTGACCTGTAGTGTGTTGGTTACTGATATATAGCCCAGAGCTACAGTGACCTGTAGTATGTTGGTTACTGATATAAAGCCCAGACCTACAGTGACCTGTAGTGTGTTGGTTACTGATATAGAACCGAGACCTACAGTGACCTGTAGTGTGTTGGTTACTGTTATATAACCAGGCCTACAGTGACCTGTAGTATGTTGGTTACTGATATATAACCCAGACCTATAGTGACCTGTAGTGTGTTGGTTACTGATATATAACCAGGCCTACGGTGACCTGTAGTATGTTGGTTACTGATATATAACCCAGACCTACAGTGACCTGTAGTGTGTTGGTTACTGATATATAACCCAGACCTACAGTGACCTGTCGTATGTTGGTTACTGATATATAACCCAGACCTACATGTACAGTGACCTGATAGAATCCACTGATAATCTGGTATTACCTGTGTTTATTTGGGAACTTACTGTATTTGAGAAACATTAAATAAAGATGTGATCACCACACTTTGGAGAGCATTTTAATTGCATTATCAGTGAGAAAAAAAACTACAAGCCTTTTATGTAGCATAAGGCTAAAAGCGGAGAGTTGCTTAATCCAATGGATGGAATCTATCTTAATTGTCAGAAAATGTGGTATAGATAACAATTTGCAGGTATAGGATTCTTCCTTTTTTTCACAGGATTTTTTCATTTTTTCCCATGATTTTAAAAAGTTTCTGATTTACTTTGAAAATTTAAAAAATATGAAAGTTTCTAAGTTGGATAGGTGTGTTCCTCCCTTTTCACTATGATTTCCTCTTTTCTTTCTAATCCCAAATCATATCCATGTAGTGTGGAAAGTGTCCTGATGAGTGAAATTCCAAAGTACACACATCATATCCAGGAACTCTGGGCCATGTCATTAAAAAGGTTGATTCGATTGGAAAAACACTACTTTTCCAAAATTATTGAAAATTTGAAACTCAAATTTGATTTTTTTATTTCAAAAGAATCAGTAAAAGTTAACAAGCACATGCATTTTTAAAACATTCAGTTTTAAAAAATTCAGTCTGCATGTTATTAATCCAATGAATATCAGGATGAGAATTGAGATTGTATTAAGATACAGTTAAACTGTTTAGATATGTTTTATTGTTTATAAATAAAGAAGAGTGTCAAACATCACTGATGCTGTCCCAAGTTGCTGCTATTTTCGTGGAGCAGAGCCTGTCCAATTCAATAAGGGAAATTTCAAATATATTCCAGTCCAATTCATTTCTGAAATATCTATTCAAGGATTATGTAAATTACATGTGATGCTGATCCATTCCTGATAATAATTGCTCCCACACTTCACAGATGCTGTGCTGGTTTTGCTAGGGAAAAGATAACCCTGTCTTTACCTATACCCAGGGAAGGACATCTCACACATGTATTATTCTGAAAACGATCACCATTACATCCTCACTTCATAGAGCATAACCGAGTAACTCCAGCAACTTTGTCACACATTTCATGCACACTTGATGATAGTCGATGCACTGGGTTCACCATAAAGACCTTTTTGGACAGTAGGAAAGTGTTAAGGAGAAAAATAGTCTATCATTTCTGGGGGATGTAAACAAAAATCTCAACCGTCAGGATAACATTTTTGAAGTTAAGCACTCAGCAAAGCCTCATGCTTATAACTTAAAAAACTTTGGGATTTCTCTGCCTATACATCACACAGGAGTTATAGATTCTATTAATCGTAGATAAATCTAAAGGATGTAGGAGTGAAACTGGACATGTGTAATTGTAGATCATGTAATGTGTACAGAATGACATAAGATAACAAACAACAATACACTGTTATACACACCATGTACATGACAGACATTCTTTGTTTTATTCTCAATTCTAATGTAGAGCAAGATGGCAGGAATTCAATTTTCAATTGCTATTGGAGATATGTCAAGATCAGCTGTGTGGAGCTGCATTTTTGAAATGTTGAAGCTGTCACAAGCCATACACTAGTTTAACTGCCTGCATTAGTATAATGTCATTTGTTGTGATCATTTAGGTAGAGTCGATGGTATAATGTCAAACGGTGTATTACTACTGATAGGCAGGTTCCACACAGGCACTTGTCAAATTAGCAAACCTAATTCAAACATGTGGCCTGATCCTGTTTACTAATTAGTGATGAGAGGTGTTAAGATAAGATTTGATTTTCTTGTTTACCTAAACCTAAATATGGCATAAGGAAATGGTATGTTGAGATCTAGCTAGGCCAGAGGTCTGGGGGTGAAGGGGGGACTGTCTGATCTGGTCTGTGGAACAGATAACTGTTCGTTAGAGATGGTTAGATACCCGGGCTTATCTCCAGGACATACCTGAAGGTACTGCTTTAGGTCATCGCACTTTGATGGATCCATTCACCCTGTGTTAGACCTCATTATCTGGTGCTTCTGGAAGCATCCCTCAATCCTCTGTATGACATTGGTTCAGATCAGCGGTTCAGTGACTGTTCTTCAGTTGTGTTGGAAAATCATAAATATGCAGCATTGAATTAATAATTTTGTCAGTAATTGTCTATTTCTTTTAAGATTGGAAATTTTGAGATAAAGTGTTCTATCAAATTAAGGAGACTTAATTGGTGTTAAACATAAAAGTTGATTAGATAGACAGATTATAGTTGGTACATTGAAATTTTCAAAAAACATAAGGGTCTTGTGCTATATATAGTACCCACTGCACGAAGAGTCACGCTGTGTTACTACTAACTCAGATATTGTTAACATACATGTACTTATCCCAATAAGTCCTGGTGATTTTAGATTTATAATTCTCATAATAGACTATAAATTAAGATTCTGATTATGATGATTTAGGGATGGGACACGGTCACACTTTTGGATCATAAAAAGGATAGGGGCCTGCTTAAAAGGGATTTGGAATTTTCATGTTTGTTTATGATGCCCTGTAAGTCTGTTTTTATTCGAAAACAGTTTCTTGCTAGAAATTTTCATTCAAATATATATCTATTATCCATCTACAAGTTGATTTCACAGTTTCATCAACTTTTGACCCATTACTTACTGTATACAACCAACTTTTGACCCATTACTTACTGTATACGACCAACTTTTGACCCATTACTTACTGTATACTGTATACGACATTACTTACTGTATACGACCAACTTTTGACCCATTACTTACTGTATACAACCAAATTTTGACCCATTACTTACTGTATACCACCAACTTTTGACCCATTACTTACTGTATACGACCAACTTTTGATCCATTACTTACTGTATACGACCAACTTTTGACCCATTACTTACTATATACAACCACCTTTCACCCAGTCTAACTTTTGCCCTTCCCATTAAAATCCATATTCACAAGTGTTGACTTCGCCCCAAGAACATATCTCATTATTATACATATTATATGTTGTTTATTAATATTTGCTGTTATGACAAATTGGCCCTGATTATGAAAGGCTAAAATGGGGAAAGTTCAATTGCAGTGAAAATTTCCCTGCATGCATTATAGACTGGTACACAATGTACGTGAACTATTTATAAAGTTGACAAGTGGACAAAATTTGGCTGATGTAGACATACGAGGATGGCAGTTCTTGTGTGGAAATTATAATACAGTATTGCACTGTTACCACAGGGGGTTACATTGCATAAGCTTTGTAAATAAACTTTGAATTTTTTATGAAAAATATTTTACAGTTGTAAGATCACGCATGTTGTAACTGATTATTAGCCTCAATACTCCCATTGAATGAATTACCAGATTTAAACCCTGTGACAGGTAACCAAGGTGAAATATAAGGCAACTTTAATTACCTGGTATGTATAATCCATAACCTTTTTTATTTGAACTGTGAGGACCCATCAGGATACCAATTTTCGTGACCCTAGGTCACAGAACTGTCAGGATACCAGTTTTAGTGACCCTAGGTCACAGAACTGTCAGGATACCAACTTCAGTGACCCTAGGTCACAAGGACCATCAGGATACCAACTTTAGTGACCCTAGGTCACAGAACTGTCAGGATACCAACTTTATTGACCCTAGGTCACAGAACTGTCAGGATACCAACTTTAGTGACCCTAGCTAGGTCACAAGGAACCATCAGGATACCAACTTTATTGACCCTCTAGGTCACAGAACTGTCAGGATACCAACTTTAGTGACCCAAGGTCACAGAATTGTCAGGATACAAACTTTAGTGATCCTTTGTCACAAGGAACCATCAGGATACCAACTTTAAAAATTTAGGTACCCTAGGTGACAGAACTGTCAGGATACCAACTTTAGGGACCCTAGGTCACATAACTGTCAGTATACCAACTTTAGTGACCGACCCTAGGTCAC